TTTTGATTCCCTATAATTCCGTTTGTTTAAAATTTAAACAATACAAACAAACAAACAAAAAAATGCAAACCGTTTGTTACATTGCCATCGAAAAACTCATAAATAAATAAGAAAAGGGAAAAAACTTGTTCGATTCGTTTCGCAACGTTCGAAATTTAAAAATGTCGTGGTTATAGATAACTGTCGGTTTAAATATATTCCCGCCAATTAAATGATAATTATCGATTGTAAACACGTTGTTTACAATTTGAATACAATACAAAACGACATTTTTATTTTAGAATATAAAAAATATATATTTAAATTTTTTTAATAATTAATCGAATTGATTAAATATAATTATTTTACTTTATTTTATCGGAAATAATTTAAACGATTCGACGCCATACAATTTTTGCCGTTTACACCGGGTGAATTTAAAAAATTTCGCGCCAAAAAATAAAAATCATTTAAATTGTTTTTCAATATTAAATAAATAAATTTATATTTTTTAAAAAAAATTGCATATGTATATTAACATAAACTAAACTAAAAGTGCATAATTTATCGATAATAATAATAATAATAATATTAAATAAATAATTACGTTACAAACATAAATAATAATTTACTAATCGATTAAATATAAATTTTTTAAATTTAAAAATCAATCATATTTTTTAAAAAATAATAAATAACCTGAGAAAATAACGCCATTTTAAAAAATAAATAAATAAAGATATAGGAATGATGAATACGTACGACAAATTTGATTATTACATTTAAAAAAAAAATTTTTTTTTTTTCGCAATAATTAAATTAAAGAAAAATGGCGCCAAATGAGTAACGATGCGCGTAACGTGCACACTTTTTTTTGTTTAACGAATTTAAAAAAAAAAAAAAAAAATTCACTTGTTGTTGTATACGCACAAACACATTTGTACACAAACACAGACACACGAGTACTGGACTCGTTTACAACAAGTATAATACACCTGACAAGGTATGATACCTTCAATGGAAGATTATCTTAGTTTGTGAAGCATACCAGTCAATGCCCCAGTGTACTCAATATGGTAACTGATTTCACTCTTTAATGTTAAGCCTATAATAATAAAGAGAAGTGGTCAATATTTTGTCCAATGTTTCATTTAATTGTTGTTGGAAAGTTGAGAGAAAAACTTCCCGAAGCCAATGCAAGTCGTCGTGTGAAATAAAATAATAATAATAATAATAATAATTTTCACATTGTGCAGATGGTAAAGAAAGAAATTTAAATATTTTTTTCCATTTCTTGTCCTTGGATTGTTTTACATTCTTCTAGAAAAACAACTTCTTCCGTTTCTTTTTTATCCAAATCGTTCCAGTATTGTACTTCTCCAGAGCCCATGATAACATAAAGAGAACTACAAAATATAAAAATGATTGCCAGTAGTAGGAAAACGTTTTTCCACTGTTCGGATTTGTCTCCACCATCCAACATATGATCTCCTCTTAAATAATTAACAAAAAGTGGTGACACGACTCCTGGTATTATAGTGAGTGTTTTTATTATTCCCAAAAGTATACCTAATGAAAAAAGTTAAAAAGTTAAAAAGTTAAAAAAAGGAAAATGGAAAATGGAAAATTTTAAATTAACCTGCATGATTCGGACTCAGATCAACAACGTTTGCTAAACTACCCGATGTGCTGGCACCACCCAAAAGACTTATACCACTTAATAAAATCGTTGCTAAAATTTTATTTGAAGATCCTAGAAATCCAAGTATGACTAACAAATTGGCGGGAAAAAATTCACCTTTGAAAATATATTAAAATTATTATTATTATTATTATTTTTGTTTATAAATTAATTATTATTATTATTATGTTTACTCACTCACGACAACGGCTAATTTTCTTGCTGTCGTCATTTTTAATTTTTTCTTTGCTATACTTTTATCAATGGCCGTTGAAAAAACAAGAGCGAATAAAAATTTTGATACTTCTGGAATTCCAGATACGAATCCAGTCTGTAATAAAATTTAAATTACACCGTTAACCGTTACCTTTTCTACGAATTTTTTTTGCTTTTTTTGAAATTTAAAAAAAAAAAAAAAAACAAGGACAAATGTCAGGAAATAAATTTTTTTTTTGATAACAACAAGTTCAAGCCCTTTCCTTATCAATCTCCTCGCACATATATATACACACAAATATTGTAAAAATAAATTTTTTTTGTTTTGTTTAAATAACAAAAAACTTACGGATTTAATATCCAATTGATGAACTTCGTAAAAATACGTTGGAGTTTGCATTGATAACGTTATCGTTCCCCACATTAATGCGTGTGACGCCATTAAAACAGCCCAAAAAGGTTTCGACGTTAATATTTCTCTCCATGGCGTCTTCGTTACTTTTCTCTATGATTAATATTAAAAAAAAAAATTAAATAAATATTTTAATTTTTTAAATAATTATTTATGCTACCCTCCCCTGGAATATGACCTTGTCCAGCGTGACGACATTTCCAATTTTTTCTTTTAAATATTTCGATTCCTTATCGGTCAATCGAGGATGTTCGTTAGGAGAATCGTATACCAACAGACACCATGCGACGCACCATATCAGTGTTATGATACCGATAAAGTAAAAAACAAATTCCCAACCGTAATGAGTTATTATAATACCACTTAAGGGATAAGTTATTGCCGTTCCTATCGCTGCTCCTGTCGGGATAAAATTTATATATTATCAACTGCTACCCATCATCATCATCATCATCATTTTTCTCCCTACCGTGATAAGAAGTCATAAATTTACTTCTTTCCGTTTGTGGTATCCATCTAGCTGATAGCCAATGCATGACAGGCCAAGTCACACCCTGCGAATAATTTTTTTTTTTTTAATTCTAATGACACGATTAATTTTTATTTTCAAATTTTAATTCCACGACGCGAATTTTATTCGTACAGGAAATAAAAACGGAAGATTTTTTTTAAATAAAGTTTTATAATTATAAAATATAAAACCGGATACGTGATTCTAACAACAACAAACGACAAACAAGAAAAGTTTGTGTTTCTCGTTTGTTGCAAAACAACAATTTATCGATTGAATTTTTACTTTTTTTTTTTTTTTGTTTGTTTATCTTACGAAAGTATTAATTACATAACGAGAAAGTTTTAATTAAATGAAATTAAAATGAAAATTTTGTTAGTTTTTTTTACAAATTCATTTTTCGATACATTTCTCATACGTAATATTATCATTATCATAATTATTATTATTGTTTGTTTATTAAACAAGGTAGTAATTAAGTTAATGATGATAAGAAAAGCTCAAAGCTTTAAAAAAAAAAAAAAAAACCTTGAACTCGTTGAAAACAAAAGACAGTCAAAATAATACACAAAAATTTTGTTTTGTAAACAGACAAACAAACAAACAACAAACGAGACAAAAAAGAATTAAGGGTAATAATTTATTATTATTATTATTATTTAATGTAAAGCAAAACTCTTGTCTTACTGTAACGTACGAGTGCCAATCCTTGTACAGCTCTTATCATCGATGCAAGTAAATAATGATACTTGCAAGCGATCGGAAGTAATAAATTGACAAAACCGGCTATGAAAACGGAAATCCCCATTATTTTTTTACCGCCAAATTTTTTTGCCAATATACCACCCGGAAGTTCCGTTATCCAATAACTCCAATAAAAAGCACCCAAAAACAAACTGAATTTTTTATCGTCCCACGTCGAATCTTTCTGTAAACAAAAAAAAATTTATTTAAATTTAACATTTTTCGTCGTCGCCTCCTCCCCTCCCCTCCCCTTCCCCCCCAACAAAAAAAGCTATAACAATAATAATAATAATAATAATAATTCTTCTAAAAAAAAATTATTATCATCACATTTTTATTTATTTTTATTTTTACGATTTTTATAAATAAATAATTTTTTATCAGTCGTAATTAATTAATAAAAAATTTAATTACGTAATTAATTATTATTATTATTATTATTGTTATTATTCATTTTTTGTATATACATAGTATTATTATTTATGTATATATAAATAAAAAATTGTTTCAAATGGGATACAAATAATAATAAAATTTATCGATCGTTAACCAATGAAACCAATTAAAACAAAAAAAAGTATAATTATTATTATTATTATTTTTCTATAATTTCTAATTAAATTTAATTAATGATCGAATTTTTTTTGTCTAATTCCACGTTTTGAATTCGTCGTCGTCGTTTTTAAATTAACGAATCGCACGTTTATTCAATGAATGACGTATTGAAAAGTTTTTGTTTACGTTTTATGTATTTATTTATTTATTTATTATTAGTATGAATCTTATCGAAATTATTATTATTTTTTATATTAAATATTATTATTATTATTATTTGTTATTATTATTCATTTTAATAAAAATAAACGATAAAAAAAAAAGAAAAATTTAGGCAGAAAATAAAAATTTCTTTGTTTTTTTTTTTATTGTTTTTTTCCGTAATTAATTTTTTTAAAAAGATTTTTAATAACGAAAGGTAAACATAGTGAGATTAATTCTTTTTAAAAGAAAATTTTCGCATTTAAAATTGGGATAAAACAAAAAAAAAATTTTCCTTCCACACAAATTTGAATATCAAACGAATTTGATTGAATCCCTTTATTATTATTATTATTATTTTATGACTCGACAATAGTTTAATTAATTTCATTTTTTCAAAAAAGAATGAATGAATGAATGAATGAATTAAATTGATTGAATTAATGAACGAATGTCTTTTGTTAAAATAACCCATGGAAATTTTTTTCTTTTTTTTTTTATTAAAAATGACTTTAAAAAATCGAACGAATTTCCAATAATAATAATAATAATAATATTGTCGTGATTACGAGTGATAATAATAATAATAATAATAATAATACACATTATTTGTTTTAAAAAAAATTTTTTTTACGTTGTTTTTTATTATTAATAAAAATGAAATAAAATTTTTAAAATTTAAAACAAAAAGTAATAAAACAAAAAATTATCTATTTATTATTATTATTATTATTATTATTAGTACGATCGTTTAAAAAAAAAAAAGTCGTCAATTTTTTTTGTTAAACTTTTGATTTAAAAAAAAATTAATTTAAAATTTTTTTTTTTTTTTATGATAAGATAATAAATAAAATAAAATATTTATCGATAAATGTTTTAAATTTTAAACGATTTCACAAGCCATTTAAAAAATAAATAAAAATTAATAAATTTTTTTTAGTCAATTTAAAAAAAAAAATTGTTTAAAACAAAAACAGGCCGTAAATTTTAACAAATTCTTCATTTTAAATATGAATTTAAAAAAAAAAAAAATTCATGAATAAAATTGTAATTCACGGAATAAAAAAAAAAAAAAATGGGGGGAAAGGAAAATTATTATTTGTTTTACGTTGGAAACCTTAAAAAATTAAATTCTCTCGATACCTGGACTTGATTAGTGGTTAATGAATAACAAATATTAATAAAACATGTTACTTTTGATGGGCATAACGTTGACCATGATGATGTTCAAGTTTTCATTTCTGGTTGTTTAGTTTTTCGTTTCATGCCAACGACAGCAATGTAAATTATTAACTCTAATCATTTGTGTGACTAAAAACATAAGAAAAGCTAATATTCCCAAAGTAACTCTAGCCGATAATAAATTTACTAAAACGCACGATGACGACGACATTTTCTTTCCTTTTTTAATAAAATTCAAAACTTATATCAATAATAATAATAATAATGATAATAAAAAAACATTTAAATAATAATAATCGAACGTATAAAT